AGATGTATGCAGATGATACTGTTGTATATTTATCTGGAAGAACTATTTCCGCAGTTTAGACCAAGCTGTCAAAGTACCTAAATAACTTTATTTAAACCGGAACCAAGATTAAAAATCTATTTTAGATGAGTATGGCCAAGATCATGGCTGGGATTATTTAAGATGTACTAGCTACAGCTGCATGGTTTGAAAAGAAAAAAACATGTCAACAGGCTTTTCATCCAAGAGTATGCCCTCTTCAGAAGTTAAATCAAATTTAAATGTTAATTGTCAAAGTATTGAACAGCTTTAAAGTAAAAATTTAGTTTAGTAATTTAAATGAGAAATCTAATAATTTACTTTCAGTTCAGATAATATTTACTGTCTGAAACAGTTATTGTGCAACTTTTTGGTCACAAGCAGCTTCTACAGTAATCAAGCATCTTACGATAATATATTGTGTAATTACAATTTTGGATAGGAAGCTGATAAGACTGTGTGACTGTGAAACTAAATTCTCTCAGTGGCCCGGTGAACGTTTCTTATGAAAAAGAATAACATTATTTACTTTATTTACTATATAACTATATTAGAAATAATGTGATGTCTTTATATATGGGACGCTATAATACTTTATCTGTTTCCCACTATAGGAAACTTTCCCTCATAAAACAAAATGTAGTCATAAATAAGTCATATTTATGTGTTTCTTTTAAAAAGATTTGTTTTTTACTAATTTTCACTCATTTTATATTAAGCTGCTGAAATTGAGACATATAGCACACCTTAACAGTGCAGTGTTTTAGTCAGTCCAGTACATGTGAATGTGTGTGAATCAGCCACAACAAACATCACCTGCCTCACCTCAACAGGTATCCAACCTGCCTACCACAATGAAACCTTAATGGTTTCAGTGCATATGTGACACAGATGCCTAATGTCTCCTGTGAAGCACGTTTGGCTCAGGTGCAGCCTAAAACATCTGTTAGTTGAGTAAAAATGCCGGAATAATGAAGTGGCACATACTTTTAATGTTTGTATTTTGACAAACTTAAAAAGTATGTGTCACTGTATTATTCTGGCATCTTCACATCTACATGGATCCAACAGATTATATTTTCAGCACATCACACACAGTTTCTCTTTTTACCAAATTGTGGAAAGATACGAGCCCCTCCTTAATTATATTCTTAAACTCGCAACAGGAGTTGCTGTAACAATTGGCTGAATGATCATTGCACCAGCTGGATCTTGTGTTTTCAAAGTGACAATTATAATCAGAGTCATTCATAAAAACTCCAGCATGACTGATATAGATTGGCAGTATGTGGGGAAATGCTGCATCTCACTACTGCATTCAAAATGACAGCTGTTGGCCCTGTGGGGAAATAAACAGCTGGAAACAAGGTAACATACATATATCCGTATATTGTCTTAGACAGTGAAGTTATTATTCATAGAAAAATGATGAATTTGAATGTTGACTGTTGTCATGTTGTCAATCCACAAATCTTTTCACAGCACCAGCTGCATAAATGATGTATCAGACAGCATTTGTTTATCAGTATTATTTGATATACAACTACAGAACTGTCCACACATCAATAAGGGAGTGATAACCATAGTACCATTGCACCAGATCGGTTCACTCATCGCTCACTGCTGTTGTCTGCTGATAGTTACAAGCAGGGTACTCAATGGAACCACCTCAGTGACCCCCAGTGGTCACTTATCCAATCACTTATCTAACTTTTTTTTAAAGAAAATAAAGCCCACAGTGACGTCAAATTTCACATTTACAATCTAACTATGTTACTATCAAACTTTTACAGTAAAGCATACAATTTACATTGCATAAAATATATATTAATGTGCCACTTGGATCCAGATTCTTCTGCATGTAGACCTGACGCACTGTAATAACTTTACTCTATATCAACTCTATTGCTTACTTTGTACCTTGAAACATTAAACTGGCTTGGGTAAGGCCTATCTGTATATATTCAAAGTTCTGCAGTGAAGACTATTTGGCTCTAAACTGATTCTTTTGTTCATGTCAATCCCCATCAGCATGAGTTTGAACCAACATTACTGGCCTAGAAAAGAAGGAGGGATGGAGAAATGGACAGATAGAGCATGAAGAGAGATAGTTAGTGATGGGGAGAGATAACGAGGAGAGCAAAGTACCCTGTAGGATTAGCAAAAAGGGTGGATAATAGGGAGCAAGTGTGACCGCAGATACAGTAGCCTATCAAGTGAGAGTGAAAAATGGGGGAAGGATTGGAAATGAGCGAATCATATGCTGTAACTTATCCTCCCAGTTCACCAGAGACCAGTGACACTTTATAGAAGCAGGAGCACCAAACTCCAGGAAGCCGCAGGGAGATGAGAGAGCATTTTTTTCCACACTTGAGAGGGTCTTCGCTGTACCTAACTGGCCACCAGTCCTGTACACTGGTCCCAGCTTGGTGCTTTGTCAATGTGCTGTGACTAATCCAGGAGGGGTCCCGCATTTTCTCTCACCCTAATTAAAAGAGGATTAGATGGGATGGAGCGATAGGCCACTCCAACATGCATAGCCACCGTCCCCTTGCTTGTAATCACACTTACTGGAATTGCCTGGATTTTCTGCGCAGGCTGCCACCTGAACTCAAAGAATGGGTCTGTCACTGCAATAGTTGTTGACTAAAGGCGCTTACAATGATGGATTGGTCCAAAAACAGGCACTGTAGCAGTTCCCCAACTGGTCTACATATGATTTATACACTATACACTGCTTTGTTTCCAATGTTGTATTTAATAACTTGTTATTATAAGCTTCAATCCTCATCATCTCCATCATTTTTAATCATAATGTGTACATGTGCTGTGGGGATATGAAAAGCAATTTAAATTACATCGGCCTGTTTTTATTTTATTTTTTGTTCTTAAAATTTCCACCAGTCTGAAAACAATTTATGACAAGGAGCAGAACTGAGTTTGGGTGCCTTTAAAGTGTGACGACTCCTCACCCGTTTCCTGTGCAGGAGACAGAGTGGCAGGGGTGTGGCTGGAGGATAAACTACACCTCTATTAACTTGCTCCCTGATTGCGAGGATATATATGGAGCTGAACCTGTTAGTTATGTCTCTCTCCTTCCAGCCAGCAGGTTCTTGGTTTGTTTGTGTTTTGGATATACTTAGATTTGTTTTTCACATTACCTTTTTCCCTACACCACACTAAGCCTATATCCACACACTCATCACGCTACTGACAACACTGATTTACATATTGTATTGGTTAAATAATTGTATTTTGTTTTAAAAACCTTAATTATCTGTGTGGTCTCCCTTGTTTTGTCTGAACTTATAGCTGGTTCATGACAACAGTCCTCTACACCAATTTTACTATATTCAAATTATGCTGCATGTCACCAATAAATAAATCTGTTTCTATCTTTTTTCAATTACATTTAAATAAATAATGTACACAAACTGAACAGAAGAACCACATAACTTTTAGGATTCATTTAATAACCTGACAAATCCTCTGGGAAACATGATACTCTGGGCACATTTTAAAGAAGGCCCTAGTGTCTGCGGGTAATTGTTGGCCCAGCGTTATGACTTGTAGGCAGTACTGAATCCAGGGGTCACTAAAGCTGGATTTTCTTAGTGTCTTCACCTATGACTATAATTAGTTAATCTATAATTGTATTAATTAAAACAACTGGAAAAAGAAAAGGATATTTTGTTAAAGCTCATTCTGATAACCCAATAAATATAATAAATAACAATGAAAATTACATTTTTTTAATTAATAATGGCAGCCACATAGGCTCCATCTGTGACGTTTTCTGCTTACTACCTCTAAGAAATGTCTGACCACAACTGAGACGCTAATTGTGTTCTTAAGGCTATTTATTGAAAATATATTTGTTTGCCTCTGTTATCCACTATCTTCAAAAATCTGCCATTCTAATAGGTGTTTTCCTTCTGTAGCAACTTCAAATGTTCAGAGCTCTTTATGCACTTACCACAAGTCAAATGACAAACCATAAAGCACCTAATTTGCTATATTTGATGACATTTTTAAATGTTCTCAGACTTGCTGGACAGCTTTACAGAAACAGGCATTTTTCCAAGTTACAGGCACATTGTGGTCCGAAGTTGCCTGAGCATAGCAACCTCCCAGGTGTCAGGTAGCCATAGCAGCAGAACGCGAACAGACAGAATTACCACAGAAAGTTAGGTTATTCCTGGAAGCTGCTTTCATCTGTTACCTCATCCAGCACTGTGGCCTATAAATAGCCAACTAAGATTTGCTAGTTTTAAGTACTGGCTAGTTTAGATGCCAGCTGCCACAGAGGAGACAGCTATATTCCCACTGCACCGTCGGTATCTGAGGAAGCCTTTAAAGATGGCCCAGACCTCAACCTAGAATACTGTGTTAGTGCCTTTCACTGAGGGTTACAGGTTGTTGTTTTAAGCTGGTTTGCTGAATTGTTGGTCAGTTTACTTCTGGGCTTTCAACCATTCAGATTGTAGCACAAACTAAACGTGACAGAATATCTCAACTATTTGTTCAAGGGATCACTAAAGCTCCAAGCACTAAGCTACACGTTTTCTTGTAAAAGTCATTTTCTTCATTATGACTACATAATTAGCCCTATTTTAAACATAACACAAACACTGAAGACATTAATATCAGCTATGTTCTTAAAGTTGAATGACAGTAACACATGCTATTCTTTTTCAAAACTTTCAAACACATCTCAGCATCCATCAGTAGTTGGAGTTTGCTCAGTTGTCATCACCTACCACTTACTTATCTGGAGTGTGTGCAAACACTGAAGGCACTGAGTACATCAGGTAACTGCTCCTCTTTGGTTGAATCCTGATATTTAGGGAATGAGTCACTGTATTTGTAAAACAATCCTTGGATTGGACAGACCGAAATCAATCTACTATTTTGAAGCTCAGAACCACGCCCACTTCAATGCCCCCAAAAAACCCTTCTGCGTCACAGCACCTACAAGTCCAAATGTAGGGTAAAGCCGCCCTTTTCCTGCAGCAGCAGCAGCGGCAGCGTAGAGGGACACGGGCACGTCAGACACCTTGCAGACACCGATTCTTTATTTTATCCGACCCTAACCATGGATACAGACAACGAAGAAACTAAAATGAAAGACTCCAAAAGACGAGAACGTCAAGCAGGTAACGTTAATATTGAGCCAACGGTTGCTCACTTTATGTGTCGAGTCGCTGGGCAACAAGAGGGCACCATAACCAGTATAGTAGAAATAAGACGTAATGTTACGTTCTTTTAACGTTACTTTTCCACCCACGCAGCACAGGCTGTAACTGTATGTTTAATATTGATACCTGGTGTAAAAAAAACCCAAATAAAATGTCCAACGTGTCGATAGCAGTGACCGTTAGGATGATTGCCAGCTAACATGGATCAACCCAGAGCGAGCTAGCGTTAATTAGCATGCTCCACTCCCAAGATAATAGTAGTAAACGTTGGATAACGTCCCAGTGTGGAGAGTAAATAATGTTAACGTAAGTTAGTTACAGACAGAATAACGCTGGCTGTGTTTAGACTGAACATATAACACTTAACGTTATAACTAACGGTTGTGCAGCCGTTGCATTTCTTACAGATTATGTTTATTGATACTCTAACGTTCATTGTTGACAGTTCATTTGGATACACTGTCATCCTGATAGGAGAGATTGGGATGTTTTACGCGTTTAGGAATTGAAAGCTAACCCAGTCAGTTGAATAAACAACTGGATTGACCCTCAATCACTGGGTGTGGTCAGCCTGTGAAGCCCTATGGTAATCAGTATTGATTATGTCAGTGGGGATGTCAGGCTGCATCAGCAGTAATCCAGGCCAGTCACTGACAGTATGGCAACCTGTACCCTTAACTTTAAAGCTGCTAATTCTGCTATGTAGTCCATGTGGCTGTCAGGGACTACATATTAAGCTGTGCCTAATTGCTGTTACGTTATTGTTAGTCGTTCAATGGCGTTTTGACTTCTTATGTCTGTAGGTTCAAGCTGGCATGGTATACATGACATTGAAGGTACGGCGCTCATTCATTGAATGGTTGCATGTCATAATCAAATGAATGAAGTCATTAAGTTAAGTGCTGCTGGCAGGGCGGATGAAGTGACTGCCAGTCTGTAATCTAAGTGCCCAGAAGGCATTAAACCTCACTAACCATACACATTCAACTAATAATAATAATGATAAT